TTCGTACCGGCGGGAGGGAAAGAGAGGGAGGGAAGGGAGGGAGGGGCGTGTTATGTCCTGAAAAGGAATTCTTCTGATGCAATCGACCGATGTAGCATCGGATATAATTGAATCTCATTCAAAGCTTTTAGCATCTTTGTCTCTTGAGGAAAAAATCTGAATCTTTCGCAAATTTATCTTCTGTATATATTATTGCAAGACGTACACTTTTAAAGGTCGGGAAACTCATTAATTTCCATGCTTACATTATGTGAGAACGTCTCTTTAAAAAGCTATTAATATGTTAACTCTTTCATAGTCATGCATTATCTTCCTTTATGTTTGAAACACAAAAAGATTATCGAGGATCTCCTCCGGAGATTTTTAAAAAATCTTTTCAGTAGCGGTTGAAAATATTCAGGCCCCTTTTTTATGCATATGAACGCAGTCTATATAACCGCGTATACCGTGCAACGATACATACGAGGAAGCTCGCTTCGGGCTAAATCTCGAGCTCGCGAATGTCCCCCGTTCATCCTGGCGAAGCGCGTAGATTGACGTATATTCGCTTCAAACGAAATGAATTCTGTATTCCCAAATTTACGGGATATTCTTTCACGCGTTATCTCCAAATACGCAGCGTACTCAACATAGTTAACAGAATGGTTTATTTCAGAAGGGAGATTTATCTCATTTTCGAAAAGACATTTTTTAAATTTACATCCATCAAAGAAATTATATTCAGTGACCTCGCTTACTTAACTCATCGAAATCAAAAACTATTTTTTTAGCATAATTGACTATGCATATTTTCATTCCTATTTTCATTGATTTAAGCGAACGACGGTCAATTTTAATGCAGTTAAAGGCATTTTTATTGTTTCACGCTCACCGCCTGCCTTTTTCCACTTTCTTCCCTTCCTTTGTCTCGGCATTGTTAATAAAAATAGCCGATTAATTCTCGCGACGTGTACACGTTCGCTCGCAAAGCCCTTCAACTTCTCGCTCGTTGCCCGGCGTATATTCGCCATCCGTGTGGCGGTATTTACTGCGTCGTGTCGCCATTACCGAGCGCCCTTATTCACCGACGGCCGAGCGTCGCACGTCCTCTCCGTTCTCGCCCTCCCCCGTCCACGGTCGGTGATATACTACCCCCTTTAACTCGAACGGGGTACGCGCTGGTACGTCGCTCTCGTTTTTAACCGTTTTCCGATCTTTACAGCGGCGTGATATCAGTCGCGCATTGTATTTCGTTTCTATGGTGAGGCCCTATCAAAACCAAGAGAGCCTAGTCATAAATTATCTCTCGTTCACCCCTCCTCGCCTCCCCCGGTCCCCGGTCCTCTCCGCGCCGTCGTTTTTCTGACGCGATAAAGCGCATCGATCCTGTGCCGTTCGGTTCCGCAGGATAAATGCTCGACGCGGCCGTGCATTCCCGAATCTCACGCGCGCCGCGTGCATCATTGCGAATGATGCACCGATTCGGTAGAAGAACGCTCACGCGTGACGTGTACACACGCGCGTCCGGCGCAGCCCACGCACGGGCAAAATAGGACCGATATCCCAGCTGCGGCGGAATTGCAAGAATTTCCAGCGGACCGATCGAACGACGACGCGCTGTCTGTACGCGACGCTGCTCCAGCAGAACGCTCCGCTTCCCAAGCGATCTCTTTGTTCGATCCCTCCTGCCATTCAGGGGAGGACATGCGCTCGCCCGCTCGTCATTTTTATCCCAGCAGCTGGCCATTCGGCTCCGTGACTGACGCGAATTCCGGATTTATAATGTTCCAGCCCTCCCCCGCGTCCCCCTTCCTGCGTCGGCGACGCCGTCGGGTCGATACGTATTCGCGAATCTGAATTTTCGATCTGCTGTAGTCGCGAACTCCGAGTAGCTCCATTGGAATTAAATAGTGAAGTATGACGGATTGAAGATTTCATTATTATAAATTCTTAATTTCCAGCAAAATTGTACATGTTCATGCATATTAGGTCAACGATTGCACAATTAATGGAAAAAAAGTACAATTGTAAAATCGCCTGCCTGAGTCAGCTGTCTCACGCTCCGTTGACACGGAAAAACAATGCAAATATAATGTGACATCAAAGTAGAGTATTATATGTCAAAGAGCAATGGCACCATTTTTCATCGACCTATTTGTTATCCTCTTCTTTTCCCAATTGCCATTTCTGCATAAGCAATTTATAAAAGTTATTATGATATTCTCTACCGAGCGTTTCATGTGTCTCAAATCTACTTGGCAATAATTTAATCCCGCTTCTAATCCGAATCCCCTCCTCGCCTATCGCAGTCTATTCGTCACGAATCTGTCCTGAGAGAAGCGTAGTCAGTCACAGCTGACAGCGCGAAAGGGGGAGATTTTCCACGTGCAAAAGGTTTATCCTGTTCAAATTAAAATGCGTGCGCGTCGGGATGGCATGCGTTAGAATTGGCGGACGTTTCTATCGAAATAAAAGTTCCATTCGCGAACGAGCCTGCACTCGCGTGTATTTCAAAATCGGCTATCATTTTAATCAATGCAATTTAATGCGCTATTCAAGAACACAATTTGAAATATTAGATATCTGCAGTTTTGCGTACTAGTAAAAATACGAGAGATGCATAAAATTGGAAAAAAAATTTTGGAAGGGAAATAGGAATAAAATAAATTCGGGAAAAACTTTTATTCTGATTCGTTATGAATCGGCATCGAGAGCGGGCTTTAATAATATCATCCGCGCCAGTAGGCCCATTTCAATCATATTAACCCGTTTTACGTTCGACGGTTTTACGTGACAATAATCATAAATTATTGCCTCACTAGCTGCATTTGTTTTGTAAATTACATCTAGAGAACAGATTTATTGCGTAAAACGAATACGTCGATGGTAGTTCCGATGGAATATAAATTTTTCGCGATTCGTCTGGATGTTGCTGCCCCGAATTGTGTTTGGCACGATTACATATTCCGTCTGCGAAATACGTAATAAATATACAAAGCGATGTTCTATAGATTAATAGACGTCTGTCAAACTCTACATAACGCGAAAAATATCTAATTTTTTAATGTCAGTACATTAATAAAATTATTAATTTAGAAAATTTGATGCAGTAATTAATTATCTGTTAATATCGAAATTTTGTTATAAAATTGTATAAATTTAAAATATTTCATCTTAATTACAAAAATCTTGTAATTAGGCTTTTTATTTAACAGATTATATTTTCCCATATTGTGATGATCGATATTATTTTATAATATTTTTGTTATCGAAAGCGTATATGAAAGAAGGGAATATACAATACTAAAAAAGGACAAAGAAAGATATGTTATGCATAATTACATTATGCGTATAAAATAATTAACGCGAATTTATAATAAAGCCTTGAAAAATGGAAAATGGAAAATTGCGAAATAAAATTCGCGTGTGGGTAATAATAATAATAATGTTTTGTTATATTACAGAATGAGTGCTCATCATATGTATCGATCCATCATTTGGCTTCGCTAGTTTTCATAATGAAGGTGCTTAACGACGTAGTCGCGCGAGTTTCTCTCACGGTTGGCACAATTTTTCTTTCATCGTCGTATTCCGGAGCGCGTCCATTATTTACGCACGCCCTGAGAAACCGTGCATCGTAGTAAGTCCGAATGCACCGCACCGGCTGAAATAGTAATGCCGTGCTTTACATTTCATGCGACCGAAGGCGCGCCTCTGCCGAATACCGCGGTATTATTCACCAGCGGAAGCGGAACAAGCTAAGCCTCGACCGCCAACTTTTCTTATTCCGAACTCGTCCTCGATGCATCGGTGCTGCACTTACGTGTGAATGTACATCGTGGCGGTATTCGTTCGCGAGATTAGCTAACACACGAGAATGATAGAGGTAGAAAAAGATATTTTTCGGGAAATTATATTCTTTTCGAAAAAAAAGAAACAAAAGAGCCAGAAAATAGAATGTAAATAATAAAAATGTAAAATAAATTAAATAATCAAAATGCAAAATAGGTATAAATATAAACAATGCAAATAAAGGCGTGATATTTATAATAAATCTAATGAAATAATAAATAAATCAGATTTAAATAAAAGAATTTTGTATTAATCGTTATAAAACGACAATAGCTAGCTAATATTTCCATCAAAAGCAAACGGAGTTGAGAGAATTTGTATTGCACAATGGTGTGATGTATTCCAAATTTCCACATCTGCATACCGAAATAAGTCTTTGAAAGTCTAATTTGCATCTCAGTAGCAAAAGATTACTTTTGCTCAAAAGTTATAATAATAATTTCCAATGGTATATATATTTTTCTCGAAATCAGACACACTAGAAAACACAATGAAAAAATCAATAGCAAGATTGTGCTAAATAAATTATAGAAATATACAGAAATTTGCAATATTAGTTAAAATATTCTTGTTTCGCGATTTGTCGGAAACGAGATGCCAGGGAAAAGCGACAGAAAGAGAAACGTACGCAACGTCTTCCAACTTCGTCGTGTTTCGACTTTTCTTTCCTCGCCTTGGCTCTGTCCATTCCCGTTCTGCCCTCCTTTCTCTCGTTTGCTTCCGACTCCGTTCCCGGCGCCGCCAGTAAAAAAACTAGCCGAATAAATATGTCCCGTATTCTTTGCACAACCATTGTGGTCGAGGCGTCGCGGTAAAATACGGGGCCTTTATTATCCTATGAGTTTCGGGCGCGGCGGGAATAAACTCACGACACGGTAAACTTTCGCGCAAGACCTACGGTCAGAATAAAACAACCGGGATCTTCAAGTATTACGACACCTTTCGCATGTGTGTCAGCATTTTTTTTTTCCGTCAAACATATCCATCCAAAAGTACAAATAAATATAAAATCTTCGAAGAATTAAGCGAAATTAAAATTCAGACTAAAACAAGTACATCAGCGATTAACGCAAAATGCTAGATGGAAACGAAAACGCGAGACGAGAAGATAAAATGACCGCCGAGACCGAATAATCGGAGCACAAGTTTTGAAAGACACAAAATTGCAGGTCAACCAAGAACAGCGGGATTGCCGACGCCATGGGTGGCGGGCGAGCATTTTGCTAGATCACGCCGAAGGGACGAGAAAAGAGGTGCGAGTGAGAGGAAGCAAAGGGGAACGAAGAAGAGAATAGCTGACAAAAAGGGCGAGGACATAGTTGGCGGGGGGGCTGTCGTTAATAACCGGACTCGACTTGATTATGGTCGCCACCGGCGGGCGCATCGGCCGCTTTAGCCTCAGCGGTCGCATCGAACGAGGTAGCCGCTAATGGGCCGGATATGGATGAAAAATTATCTCGGCTTAATGCGCGCGCTCGCGCGAGCACACGGCCGTTTTTCGTTATTACGCGGAGCTTTAAGGCTCCGCCGGGAATCGACGCGATACCAACGCGCCTTTTGCTTTCGGGAATCTCGTTCTTTTTTCCTCTCTCCCTTGTTCCTCTCTTTGCTCCTGTTATCTACCCGTCTCTCTGACCACCCGAATTCGTCCCATAATTAAGCGTTTGATTATCGGACTAATCGCGCCGGGCGTTTCCAGCGGAACGGTCGGCACAGTTGATTTCCGACGCCCGGACCGGAATAATTTAATTTATGGCGAGCACTCTTCCCCGCGTCGCGCCTCTACGTGCTGTTCCGCGCCTAAATGTTTATAACACCGACGTTGGTTCGTGCGGCCGATAATGTAAACGGAATGATTGATTAAGCGCCGAATCAGTGGTCGCGCGGATGCTCCTACGCCAAGAAAGTACGGCGGTCACGCGATACTTGGACATTATCGCGGCTCGTAAACTTATTATATTGTATTACTTTAGACAGGCGTCGTAATTTAATTCCCATGTAAATTATGCTGGGAATCTCATGTATATCTAAATTATTTCATATAATATTAGTGCCAAGTCGGAAGAAATAATAGCGGTTGCTTTGAAATAATTTTCCCTCATATTTAACGCTTCAGTATCTGTAAAATTACACGACTTATACGTAAGTTAAAAATAGCTCAAACGAGCATTTTCTTATAAAATATCTTCTTTTTATTGACTCATTGAGTATTTGATGTTAACGAATAACAAGTCAAATAACAAGAGAATTGGATATCTTTTCTAATAAATAAAATTAATAAAAAAGAGATGCTGCCTTCTAATATAATCGACTTTATTCGACAAAATAGTTGGATAAAATCAGGAAAAAAATCACAGACGCGTCGGATTAATTGGTTATGAAGAATAAACGCTCCCGCGAGTCTATGAGAGTAACGCTCTTCGTGAACTATCGAACTCGAAGAGTGTTTCGGACTAACATTCATGATCCCATGGGAGCCACGTGCAGCGGGCAAGATTACACTCGCCTAATCCTTTATATCTAGTTACATCAGAAACTTACGTCGTCGGACGAGAGTCGCAAAAGTTTTGCGCCAGCAAATAATTCGGTGATATGTAACTTTTATAGGTGTTGTGTGTATCGTGCGGTCGCTTTTACGGCGAGGATTTGCAATGGCAAGCTCGATGCTTTCTGTCTGAGAAACAAAACGTGATTATTTGCGTAACGCTTCCGATAACCGTAAACGAATCGTTCGGCGAACACGCGGCGGAAGTGATCGACGGAAGCATAGTCGAGTTTTTCAAACTCCAGTCGTGTAAATAACGTCGGCTTGTTTTCAATTCATTGAACGGCTCTCGTTTGCAGCGTGTATCGTCTTCTAATAACAGCGGGGTTGCCAATTACGAGCTATCAAAGTACAAAACAAATATAAAAGTAAAATGAAATGGGGTTGCACTGCAGAAAATATGATTATAAAATACAAACTCTGTTGGAAGTTTCTAAATACTGTTGATATTAAAAAAATATTACTAAATTTGAAAGTAAAATATATTTTAATGTATATAATCATACATTTTAATAGAACCATTTAAATTCATATGTTCTCTTTTTGAATATTGACGATGGCGGCACTTTTTACTTTATTGAGCATTCACCGATTCAACGATGTTTATTCAATATGTCGCGAAAATTATCCTCTAACCTAAACCCATCTTATGATATCTCGATACGAGTCTCCATCGGCCTGAAGCATGGCGCGGCGCGATCGAGTTCTGGCCACGATGTTCGAGAGATTACGGGATACTCAATTAGGGGATTCAGTGTCATAGAATTCGAGAGCTCCGGATTAAGGGCTCTTATCGTGCGAGTAACTTTGGATTATATGGTACCCCGCGCCAATTCCGCACATTTCGGTCGCGCTATCTGCGAGCTACTGCGCGCGAACGGTTTCGTAAGGTGTCGCGAATCGTCGAGGAAATCGCCTTCTGTTACGAAAGCGATAAACTGCAAAACTGAGCGCGTATTAATCGCTGGCGCAATTTGATAGTATTGCGTGGCATTTGATATTTATTTGTAACATTGTAACAATTCCAACATAATTTTGTTTCAACAAATTTATTTTTTATTGGATACGAACTTTATACCTTTACTAAACAATATTAATATCGCAAATGGAGAGAAAGAGCAACATTTTTTATTATTTGAAAATTAATCCTTACTTTTGGGTATAAAATGAAAATCTTTTACAAAATGAAATTCTTCTAAAGCAACAGTATGTAAATAATAGTCATTTTTTTAAAATAATTTAATTAAATGTTTCAATAAACTTTTCTATGTAAATATTACAATTTTATTATTTCTCAGTACTTTTGCGCAAAATTCTCTACAATATTAATTCTCATTCGACGTTAAACCATTTTTTAATTACTTGCGCGAGCGGCAAATGAGTTTTCGCAGTTACCTCCGATATCGGGCAAAACTGCGAAATATCCATTGAAGAAGCGTGCGACGCCGGCGAGGGATTAAAGCATCGAAAAATTTGACGATCGCGAAAATTTTCACCAGACGGCGGGAAAGCGTCGTGCAAATCCTGTCGCAGTCTTATCGATCGGGAAGAAGAAGAGAAATAACGAATGAACGAACGAATGAACCAACGAACGAACGAACGAATGAACGAACGAACGAATGAACGAACGAACGAACGAACGAACGAACGAACGAACGAACGAACGAACGAACGAACGAACGAACGAACGAACGAACGAACGAACGAACGAACGAACGAACGAACGGACGGACGGACGGACGAACGAACGAACGAACGAACGAGCGAACGAACGAACGAACGAACGAACGAACGAACGAACGAACGAACGAACGAACGAACGAACGTACGATACAACGTACAGTTTGTTGCGATTACTTCGACTCGTGGCTATTTGTTTTCTATAGTCGGCGGTAGGTATCGAACCGGGGTGGCAGCGCAGAAACAATTTCGCGCGGTGCGGGAGTGACGGCTGAAATATCGCGAGGAATGTCATCCACCGTATATCATTCCGGGTATGAGTAATACTCACGGCAAACTCGAGTCCTTATGAGCGACATTCATCGCCCTTCGGAAACGTGCCGGCCGGCAAGAATTTTTCCTCGTCCGTGGGCAAGGAGCCAAGGACTCGTATAATTAGTGACATTTGATCGGACAAATCCCAACCGTATCAAACTTTCAGAGAAAATGATGACATTTCAAGAAACTCCTGAAACTCTCGATTTAGAAACATTTCTAATTTAGCATATCTTGCCTCTCAAAATAAGACAATTGCCTTTAGTTGTTCTAAACATTAGTCCAAGTTAAATGACATTTAACGAGTTCTCCAATGGCAGACATTGTCTCTACGAAGAGACAGAGAATTAGTTAAACTTTAGTTTACCTTAATTAACGTCTAACAGAATTGCTCTTACAGACACTGACATCTGCCGCTCTTTGAAGGATTAAACGAAGTCGAGCAGTAAATAAATCGCGTTCAAAATAAATCGATCTATTTATGCTTCAAGTCACATTTATCCGATCTTTCGCGGCGCGATAAGCCTCGATAAGCTATTAACAATTTGGAGTATCGCGCTGACCGTGCTTCTTCCAAATCAAAGCTCTGTCCGCTATCACTGCGTGACGGCGCATTATCGTTCACGGGTATCGCCCTCGAAAGTTTCGCGGTGCCGCGTTCTAATCCGGCAAATCTTGTCACGCGACCTCACCAAGTGTGTCATTGGCCGCCTTTCGACCTAGTCTTAAAACAACTCCTGTCAGGAAAAGCCCTAGATCGAGACTTCCCGGAAGCTCTCAAGCTGCGAATAGAGCGATCAAGATCAAGTTGAAAATGATATAATTTCGGTGAATGCAATTATCAACGATTCAGATAAGATACCTTGTGTAGATTGCAACGTTATTTATCGTCACGAAAGTTGTCAATTTTGCATATCTATTGCATGTCAAATTCCACCAACATTATATCGATTTCAAAGCTCCGCTTTTCCACCCCGCTCCGAAATGATATAATTCGTCTCCGTTTCGGGGTCTCAGCGCTAAAAAAGACGGTCTTCGCTTACCGGTCATCGTAGACAAAACCCGCTTGCAGAGTATTGCAGTAGAGTGCCGTCGCGACGAGGGCGCAGGCTACGGCGAGGATATCCATGTCACATCGTGCCGAGGACGCTGGCGGCGACAGCGACGTCGACGGCGGCGGCCTCTTAACTTGTTGCACGTCCGCGGGCCTTCCTCCTGCACCACCGCCGCCACCACCAGCAGCACCAGCACCACCACCACCTCCCCCGCCCGCCCTCCTCCTCCTCCCTCCCTCCCTCCCTCCCTCCCTCCTCCCGCCGCCCCTACGCCTTCGCCTGACGCCGCCGGCCTTCGCGCGGCGGCCGAGACGTCCGCCGGACGATCGAACGACCGCCGATCTGACGCCGCCTGCCCGGATGACGGGTCCCGCGCGGGATGAATGTCGGTGACGCGTCCCCAGATACGATCCAGCGGCGAAGCTGCTCCCGGACCCGGGCCCCCGATCTTCTCAAACGCAACAGCGAAAATCGACACTTTACCGCGTAGTCTCACATCGGTCGCTCGCGAGAGGCGTCGCAGAGGACGTCACCAAGTCAGAGACGGCCTGATTTCTGGCGGACGAGAAGGTGACTCCTTGATCGAGGGAAGAGAGATCACGCAGGCTATCCGAAAAAAAGGATGTGATTCGGGTCTCGGATCTTCGGGAGTGATTATCACGCGATGATCTGCGAGCTGTCGCTCGTCGCAACCGACGCTCTCTTTCCTCCAACAGTAGCCGTCGCTGCTCGGCGGCGGATACGTTCCCAATCACCATTCACTGACGCGTGTGACTCACGATCCGGATCCCGTATTCCGGCTCCGCGATGGATGAGAATCGCGTCGGCGGAAAGATTTCACGGAGGAAGAGGGAACCCTCGACGGCAGGCGAAACGGCGTCGTCGATCCGACACCGCGTTCGTCGGCTCTTCCTTATCGGTCACGGGGCAGGGAAATCTTCGCGCTTCCACGAGTGTCCTGCGGCGATTCCGCGATGATCCTCGCAGCGAGAGTGGAACGTGCCGTCGTTCCTCGGGGATCCGCGAGATCGGCGCGCTCGATCCGAGCCTGATCACAGTTGGACGCTGACGATTGTACTCGCGATGGTTGCCGCTGTTGACGTGGGTCGCACTAGCGACGACGACTATGACGACGAGACGATGTTCCCGGCGCGATTGGCACGCGGCGCGACGCATGTTCCGGATGCGGAACGCCAACTGTCGCGCGCCCCCCGAGGACGAGAGCTTTATACGCGGGAGACGGGCATCGATCGGACGGGCGCTTGCGCTCGCCGCTTTCCTGGTCCTCCTTCT